CAGATGTGTTCATATGGCGGTTATCATGGAACCTTCAATGTGACACGGTAGTGCCATTCTATGAAAAGCGGCATATGGTCCCCAAGTAAAAAAATGCGTGTGCCCTAAACGAGAAAACAATGGGCGGAACAAAATAAAATGGAATTTTGAAAGGGGATCTGAGGTTATGAAGCCTGCGTATCACAGATAGGACGTCAAAAGACAAATTTAAAAAGCAGGCAACATATCCTAAGGGTGATTCAACATTATTCAAGTAGGAATATTGGAACCACCCAACTAGAAAGTGCCAAAAAGTTGAAACTAAAAATACCACAAGCACAACAATAATGTCGTGCTGAACGATCTTCAAGGATCGAAAATATAACATCATTGATTAAATGTACGGGGAGACTTTTACAGCCGCCACACGGCACAAATAACACGGATGTGATCATAAAATAGATAAATACAGAATCCCTAAAGAAAGCCCAACACGGCAAAATTGAAAATGTTGCAGGCTCGGTTTGATTGAGCCTGTTCATGGACGGTACTGGAAAGTGCAAGTTACCGTCCACGCCCCCTAGCACCGGCTTAAGCAGAATTCAACATTTAACATGAACTGGTAAAATTTAGAATTTTGAAACATCCGCAGATGTGTTCATATGGCGGTTATCATGGAACCTTCAATGTGACACGGTAGTGCCATTCTATGAAAAGCGGCATATGGTCCCCAAGTAAAAAAAATGCGTGTGCCCTAAACGAGAAAACAATGGGCGGAACAAAACAAAATGGAATTTTGAAAGGGGATCTGAGGTTAAGAAGCCTGCGTATCACAGATAGGACGTCAAAAGACAAATTTAAAAAAGCAGGCAACATATCCTAAGGGTGATTCAACATTATTCAAGTAGGAATATTGGAACCACCCAACTAGAAAGTGCCAAAAAGTTGAAACTAAACATACCACAAGCACAACAATAATTTCGTGCTGAACGATCTTCAAGGATCGAAAATATAACATCATTGATTAAATGTACGGGGAGACTTTTTACAGCCGCCACACGGCACAAATAACACGGATGTGATCATAAAATAGATAAATACAGAATCCCTAAAGAAAGCCCAACACGGCAAAATTGAAAATGTTGCAGGCTCGGTTTGATTGAGCCTGTTCATGGACGGTACTGGAAAGTGCAAGTTACCGTCCACGCCCCCTAGCACCGGCTTAAGCAGAATTCAACATTTAACATGAACTGGTAAAATTTAGAATTTTGAAACATCCGCAGATGTGTTCATATGGCGGTTATCATGGAACCTTCAATGTGACACGGTAGTGCCATTCTATGAAAAGCGGCATATGGTCCCCAAGTAAAAAAATGCGTGTGCCCTAAACGAGAAAACAATGGGCGGAACAAAATAAAAATGGAATTTTGAAAGGGGATCTGAGGTTATGAAGCCTGCGTATCACAGATAGGACGTCAAAAGACAAATTTAAAAAGCAGGCAACATATCCTAAGGGTGATTCAACATTATTCAAGTAGGAATATTGGAACCACCCAACTAGAAAGTGCCAAAAAGTTGAAACTAAAAATACCACAAGCACAACAATAATGTCGTGCTGAACGATCTTCAAGGATCGAAAATACAAGACATTCTCAGGAGCGTAAACATAAGACTACTGGGGAATAACGAAGTATTATCTGGTATGACGCCTGTTAAATTGACATCAACTTTTTTCACTGACTTTGGTTCAATATTTTTCCATTAAATTTCTCGATAAAACTATCAATATGAAAAGAGAGAATTAATCATGCAAATATAATGAACACTGTACGGTTCATTGTATGCATGCATTCAATTCAACATTCGTTTGTATTTTTGAAATTCCTTGGGGAAATTTAAATTTTAAAGGTTAAATTACAATTGTTTTATACTTGATGATAAACCAACGAGGAAAGAGATACCTTCTGCTTCGTACGATAACGATCAACAACCCACAGATAACTGATAGCAAAACACCGATCACTGCCAATGCAACTGCTACCTGGGTAGAATTTATACCTATTGGATAAAAGAAATACAATGTGCATTGCTACATACCATTTTCATTTAATTGTATGCATACATTTCTTTTTGCTTGTTACTTTTGATAAATATAATTCTTCTTCTAAAGCAACAACACAGGTACAGTATTACATGATAACATTATAATGGCTTGCATGAAGTGTACTTTAAATCAAAATAAAAAAAAATATAAAAAATACGAACTAAACACAACTGATTATATGAGTTCTAATATATGCAATGTTCTTTAAATTAAGTAAAGTGGAAAACAAACAAACCCAAATATAAACACAGGTTATGTCATAAGAATCAGTTTAAATTTGAGATGTATATATAAGTTTATCTATAAAAGCAGTTGAGATATTCTTTTGGAAAAAAACCCACAACAACATCAATTATTATAGTTAAATACTGACATAAACGAAACCAATTAAGAGTTATGAAATATAAATACATTTTTACATGACACATATCATTTCTAGACAAATATCCGGATGCTGTTGTACTTGTAGTGCTATACGTCCGTTTGGTTTTACTGGTATCTTTTTCTGGTGACGTGTCTGTTCCAACAGTAAAACTGTCCGTAGTGCTTCCATGTATATTTGTAAGGCTCGTTGACTGTCCATGTGTTTGTTGTGACTCGGTTGTAGATGTTTGTCTATTATCTTTAAAATTACATGATATTAGATAATGTTATCCTATTTATTTTGAAATTAGAAAGAAAATACAAAGGAGAAATCTTATTGAATTTATTGATACAAATATGTTCAATGGCCAGATAAGGCTCATGAAAAGAATGACCTGTACAGTCATAGCATCAAATAGCAAATTATAATTACCAAAACAATATCTTTGATGACAACTGGATGGTAGATCAATGAAACAATAGGCCATGAACTCTCCACAATTGACAGCTGTAAGCTCGTATGAGTTCAAACAACAGCTGTCAAAGTCTCTAAGACAGGATGTACGACTCACCACACCTTCTGTCGGTTCCGGGTTCTTACCTAGAAACGTTTAATCATGTTTTAAGTTTACGTCAGATTATGTCAATTTTTAATTTTTTAGTCATTTATTTATGTTTGTTTAGAAAACATTATATTCACTTCATTTGAAAATTTTGAAAGTTATTATATGCCCATAGTGAAATCTTAATGGAGCTCATATAAACGTTTTTCATACTCATGTCGTATTTTACCTTTCAACCAGATAGGGAACTTTGTTCCACACATGTACATGCTTGGACAACTTTCACTCATCCGTGCGTCACTTTTATACCACTTAGACGTGTTAATCGAGTAAACATCACAAAATGTCCAATGTGATGTTGTGTTAGTCATCGGAAATGTTGGATCTCTTGATGATAAATTTGGAATTTCCGGAATTTCTGTAGTGCAGACATCTGAAAGTAATCAGTAATGCTTAGCAACAAATTGTGTTCAAATAAATTAAGCATAAGCCTTAATAAGTTGTGTTTTCGTTTCACTAACATTTGAAAAGAGAATGATATTTTTTGTTTTTGTTTTTGTTTTACATAATTATATATTAATAATGAATAGTAAATCTGACATAGACTTGTGAAGAAAATAATCAATTTGGGGCTTCAATTATGTTATAAAACTAAACTAAACAGTTGTGCGCATTCATTTCTTGTGGGTTGAGGAATGGTTAATTGTTAGGATTGTCTTTTAAATACACCATTTTACAACGCGGTCCACCGACCGGATGAGGTATTTTCTCCGGCATGTTTTGTGTATGTCTGAAATACCCTAAATGCATATTTAGAAAAATTCAAATTGATTGCTTATATTCACCTTTGCATCAACTTTTTCTCAAATTTCAACCTCCTTACCTGTTTAAATATTTTATTACTGATTAAAACTATTATTTCAGTATCGCCCTGCACAGAATGCACATGCGCGAGATTCTACTTCCGTTTCCAAGGAAATATAGTAATGTAAAAATTAATGTCTAAAATAACAAGTACCTGATGCTGAACTGAAACAGTTTATTGTAGTTGCACCTGAAAGAAATGATAGATATAGATAATTTGATGTTGGAATGTTAGTTGCAGGTTTGAGAAGTTTTTCATTACAAGTTGAAATATACATATGGTCAAACTATTTTAATAAATGAGAATTGGAGACCATGTACTTACAAAAATGCATACTAAGTGTCAGCCAGTCTGTTAACTTGCTTTTTACCGAATTTAAAATGAACAGATTTGTCTGATTAAAACAGAAAGGAATGTTTACTTTTCTGAGAACAAAGCACCCTTTCTACAAGTACTGTCTTTGTTTCAATGTATGACATTACAATATATTTCTTGTTGGCTGTTCAGTCTCAATGATTGGTTGTTCAGTTCAAATGGTTAAATTAATACAAACACGGCCAACAATAAGAATGTTAGATTAAGTCTGTTCATAATCAATAGTGGCATGAAATCTACCAACCATGCCTAAAAGACACAGGTTTAAACGGTGGTGATTATAAAAAACAACAACTTCAATATAACACTTGCATGCCTTTCAATGAATAGCGGTATACATCCCATAACAAATAAATAAAAACACAATGTAATAAATAGAGTCTAAAAACGTATCAGAGCTTTACAGTAAACTTTGTCATTGCTACAATACTATGTAAACTTATCAAACAGGCTTTATTTTATTCAACATAACTTTGTTTAATAATGGTCCTTCGTGAAATTATGAAATGAGTTTGAAACAATCGACCTATGATTTCATTCATCAATATAAATAAAAAAACAACATATTCACAATGTTGGTATACAGCAATTTATTGTTCATTATGATGAAAAACATAATGCATAAATAAGAAGAAAAGTATTTAAACTATAATGATATGGTGTGTACAATTTCTTAAAACTATGACTTGTATATATCTATTTTGAGTTATTCATATAGTGTTAAACAATTGCACTCCTCACTGTTCTGGTGTACAATATTATTTGTTTGTAAGCAATGCACTTTGTTACATGCTAAATAAATTTGATATTTTAAAATGGCAGCTTTCTTGATCGTACATAAAACAGATACATTTAATTTCACTTCGTGTCATTTCATTTTTATACTCAAGATGACGTCCAAAATGACCACGAATTAAAAATATGTAATTGCGGACATATAAATGTTTATTTAAGAATGTTCTAAACTGCTACCTACATGACTGATAACTGACAAACGTAATAACCATTAAGATTTCAAAACGACAGCTTTTTTACAAAACGCTAACCAAAAATACATTTACTTAAAGGCATTTTCTGATTAAGTGACCGTGGTCATTCCGCGTAGATGTAAATTGTTTTACAAAGTACATTTTCTTTTAAAAACTTGATGATTTTCGACATTTATACGTTTTCATTACCGATGTCATGTGTCCAAATATTTAGAAACATATCTGAATGAAACCCTCGTAAGCATTAATCACAACAAAATTACATGCAAATTGCAGACTCGGTTTGAATGAGTCTGTACATAAGAGAAAATAAAAAGGTTCAGTATCCCTTACGTTCCTAGCACCGGCTTGAGCGGTACTCAATTTTCAACAAAAAAGTGTTGGGATCAATTATATCGAATTACCAGAAAAATATTACATCACTGAAGTGAGAACGGGCCACTTTTTACAGCTTCCATACAGCACTTGACACCTGCTGTTGTGAAGTATAAAAATCTGGAAAAGTGTTATCCCTCGAAAGCATTAATCACAACAACATGACATGAAAATTTCAGACTCGGTTTGACTGACTCTGTACATGAGGGATGATGAAATGGTGCAACATCTCTTATCCCTCTTGCACCGGCTTGAGCGGTACTCTATTTTCAACACTTAAAAGTGTTGGGATCAATGATCTCGAAGGCCCAGACACTGAAGTGAAGTACGTTGCAACTGAAAGGGTACCGTCTGTAAGCTAAATACAGTATATTCCTTATCATTTAATTATAATATAGAAACATAAAAAATGATATAAAATAAAATTAAAGATATTATTAGGTGTAATATTAAAACAATTAAGTTACCTGTCTGGATTCCAAAGAAAATAACAGCAAAACACACGAACACCCACATTTTTTACTAATAAAACCAAATCGGTTATTTCAATTTCACAATCTTTAAATCATTGTACAGATCAATAATCTATAACATTTTAGCGGTAACAGATTAGTACACTAACATCACCGATTACGCAGTTTAAGCTCACGTCATGAATATGGACAGGGTTATTTTTAAATCTATAATTAAAAGTTCAGCGAAGCAGTTTATTTAAGAAATAATAATTAAAAAAAAAGTGTACTGGAATTTGTTTCAGTAATCGGTCTTTGAAAATAATATGTAGATTCTATATTAAATACTATCTTTGCAATTTATTTGAAAAAAGCACACTATTACTTTAAGAAATTAAACTTTAAAATTCAACTCTTTGTACGGGTCTTTTTTGCGATTTTTGCACTTATATTTTAAAGTTTTAAAATTGTGTGTATTCTGTTTAGATATTGAAATTTTGTAGAAAAAATGTAGTATTCTCGAACTAATGCTGATAAAAAATAACAAAAAAAACAACAACAAAAAACAACAACAAAAAACATTACTGACAATAGCTATCAAATTAAATTTGAAATTTTGAAACAAAAGGTAGCACATTACACATAAGCACGGGATTATATAACTGTCTATCCACTTAGCTCAATAGCAAGAGTATCAGATTTGTTATTATAGGGGACACTGGTTCAAAAGTCAGGAGTAAAAAAAATCTTCATAACCGATTTTAATAAATCTGGTAAAATTATCATTTTTTTCACAGATGATTCATAATTCATGTGGAATTATCAATGATAGTTCAATTTGCCTTTTAGTAAATGTATGTTTGGTTAGCGTTTTTTAAAAAGCTGTCGTTTTGAAATCTTTATGATTTTTTACGTTTGTCAGTTATCAGTCATGTAGGTAGCAGCTTAGAGCATTCTTAAATAAACATTTATATGTCCGCAATTACTTATTTCTCACTTGTGGAGAAATCAGTAAAATAAGCAAAGTCCGACCAAACTTCGAGGTATTACCAAAATGTGTCCAAATCAGCTTTAAATGAAAATGAAAATATTTTAAATGTAACCATCACAAGAAAATATCATATTTTCAAACAGAATGTTAAAAATCTTTTTTATTTATTTTCTCAACAACCATATAAATATTGAACTTAATTTATCTATGCTTAAATGAGATTAAAATTATTTGTATACACCATAGACCCTGTATACATCTTGTTTTGCAAAATTAAATAGTTATACCACGGTGACTGTCTATTTTGTATTCAGTGCACGTGTCAATAAGTTTAATCAGTATATGTTCATTATGTCACTTTATAAAGACATTAATTTATAAACAGACATGACATTTAAGATAAAATATGCAAATTATATGCAGTATTTTAAAAATTATGCTTTTAATGGAAGATAATAACAAACAAAACTACGAAACACCAGGTAAGGATTTTAAAATCAAAGTAAGCAGAGTAAATGTTTCTATTGTTTGATTTTATTAATCTGTATATTGCATGCTGATTATACAGTCAATGCACATAGTAAATTAAGCTCCGATAAATGTTCGGTAAATTCCGCCCGTTGTACTGTTTCTATGAAATAGTTATTCTGACCGTTACAGCACAATATGGAAAACTACGAATTTATTGTCGATAACCCAATTATTTTGGAACAATATTTAGTTATACTGGTAGTTTTAGTTTAAATGAAGAACAATTGATTGTTTAGCTCATAAAACTCTGAATGTACTATCGATTTATCGTAAAAGAACGTTGCCTTTGCCTTGTTGATCTTTATTCTTGTCTTTTTTCTCAAATTAAGTTCCCTTCTGTCTGCTGTCTCTTTTATATTCTCAGTTCAAAGAAAATCTGGACATCAGTTGATGGGGGTTCTAAGAGAGCTGTGTCTTACCGGTGGTGTATTCAAGACGGGCGTGCTCAACATGAGGCTGGATTGACGAAATCGATGAGAAGAAGGTGTAGTGAATCCCGATATCACACTCACAGGCGACAGATCAATAGATCGTGGTGGTGAAGTTTGAAAGTTTGATCCAGCACCTGACTCACATCACTCACCGAGCCGCTCAGTTTTATACCTGCAAATTGAGCCGCTTTCTAGTATTAGTATCTGCTCTGACACAGCTCTTGACAGAATAACAGCAAGCGCTAACACGGAAAAAGATGCATTGTTGCAAAACATGAAAACACATATACGTGCGTTAAATACACGCATAGGGACTTATGATAAACAGTCAGAACAGTGCTTCCATTGCCACCAAGACGGATTTTTTTTTTGCGAAACATTTTCCCCAGAAGAATAAAGACGTGAAGAAAGATGTGAATACAGGTGTGAATAAAACATGCTATGGTTGCAAACATCTTGACATTTTGTGAGTGACTGTCCGAAGCCACGAAAACCAATTGATCCAGCATATTTGAAAAACGATGACCTGCTTCCATTGGACATAATGAAAAGGGACATTTTTCTCTTGAATAACTTAATCGTGACAAGAAAAAAGATGCTGCACCACCTAGCTTTTGTTGACGAAAATACAGTCAAGTTTTACGGACCCACAGAAAATCACCAACAGTTATGGTTATGGCAGCAGGATGAACATGACACTAACATCGCCATCAACACCAGAAGCACATCTGTTATTAACAACATTGGATGACAAAAACACACAACCAGCTCAGCAGCCATCCACCCCACAAAAATTTGACTATTACGAATTTGCTCGTAAACATTGATATGGAGACTTTTTGTATATGAAAAATATAGATAAACATCTCTCATTTCCGAAAACACCACCGAAAATGAATTAGTTTGGTGCATAGCGGTATCACACTTTACTCCTCAACCCACACAGGTAGTACCGAGCCGTGTAGTACAGAACCAACCAAGAAGGAAAACCGGGAAGAATCAGACTGCGAGCCATTACGCACGCGATCTAGAAAAGCAGTGAAAAAACTGTTTTAAAAATATCAATATGTTCAAAAAAGTAACCGATGTCTAAAACATTTGAATCGTTAAAAAATGTCAAGTTTACTGTTAAATATTAAAAGTTTAAAAGAATTAAAAAAATGTACTGTTAAGGTTTTAAAGTTTAAAAAAATTGTTTACAAAGTTTTCAAAAAATGTTTATAAAATGTTTAGTGTTTAAATAAAATTATTGTAAAAATAGTTTATGTTTAACGTATGACAAGAGTTTATAAAACGAGTTCAAAAAGTGAAACGCATTGTTTTTATTTAGCGATATTGAAAGTTTACATTTAATACACACGGTTTCAAGAAATTTAAATTTGCGCGTGAAGTGTAGAATGTAGACTGATCAGTATAATATACATGTAAATAAAAATGGAATATGTTTCGGATTAATTATTTAAGGTTAGATATTGACAATATTTTAAGGTACCTCTTTTCGAAATAGTTGGATCCGTGTAAAGGTTGTTCAGTTTACCCTTCGACGGCTGGAAAGGGTTCATCTGAGCTGCCTTCAAGATGTTGCTTGGCCTCGAATTTCTTCTGGCGAAAAACACCTTCAGGTCTGTCTCTCTCTATCTCCCTATACACCCATGCAGGAGTGGAATCTCTCTTGAAGAATTTCTTCATAGCACTCAATACCTTTCTTAAACCCATGGTTCTAGAGAAATGAATATAGTTTCATATAAATATATGCCAACATATCAAAATATTGTTTAATAAACTTATATGTTATATAGATCTATCAGCATAATAAAGTTAATGTATTTTCATCATATTAAAATATTGTTTATTACACTTATATTATATATCATTATATACATGTATATTCCATAAATCAATACATTATAACCCATTAAAAAAGTGTAGCGAGGTCACGTCGGTACATGCAAATAATACACCGATCTGTGTTTTACACACAGGTTAAAAATAGATATAGCAAAATTTCGCTTCATATAAAAAAGAAACATTGTTTTATTTGCATGTTCAATATCTACGATATGTATCTGTAATCATCATATCATATGTAATTTTAACGCACGAGAGCGACTGTATTTATGTGAACTGAACTAGTGAACCGGATTGATATCTGTCACAAGTTCTTGTAAATAATTGACCAATCAGCGAACGTTACATTAATCTGACCTTTTCTGAACGTTGCACGTTTGTGTTTCTTTGAATATGAAAAACGTGAATTAATTATTTGAACAACGCAGTCTGAAGGACAGCTAAATCCCCCTCCGCAGTGAACATGAATGTGTACTTCTTGACCTTTTACCAACCATGACCTTGATGTTGTATCATGCATATCATAAGCATATAGTCTCACGATGGTGATTATTTGTGCCAAGTTATTTAAGATCTTCCATAAAGTCAAAAAGTTATGGAGAACATATAACCTTGACCTTGGATGTAGCAACCTGGATCTTGAGCTCTGCAGATTGTGTCATGGTGGGGATCATTTGTGCCAAGCAATTTTAAAACCTTTGTATTGTCAAAAAGTTATAGACTTAATAAGAGTTATAGACATGAAAAATGCACGTTTTTACATTGGACCCTTGAGTGTGACACTGACCTTCAGTGTTGTGACTTGCGTTCATTGAACGCCGCCTTTCCTTGGTGATCTTGTTTATCATACTTTTTGATAATTGTGCTCTGCCAGTTATGTCATATTGGTGACAATTTCTGCCAAGTTATTTTAAAACATTGCAGCGGTTTAATGTTATGGACAGACACGAAATGTAGACTTTCTAACATTTAACCTGTAAGTGTGACCTTGACCTTGGGGGTAGTCAATTATTGCGCTCTGCACATCGTCTCATAATGGTAATCACTTGTGCCAAGCTATTTAAAAGGTTTGAAGGTTATGGAGGGGACACACAATGTAGAATATTATACATTTGACCTTTAATTGTGACCTTGACTTTTGGAAATGCAACCCAGTTATTGACCTCTGCACATGTTCTTATAATGGTAATCAATTGTGCCAAGTTATTCTTTTAATTTTCAGCGGTTAAAAAGTTATGGGGCAGAGAGGAAATGTAGACTTTTTATCATTTGCCCTTTAAGTGTGACTTTGACCTTTTTGGTAGCAACCCAATTATTGCGCTCTGCATGTCGTCTCAAAATGGTGATAAGTTGTGCTTTTCTTTTAGATTT